AAAAATAAAAAAATTTATTCATGATGGCAAAAGCAGGTCTATTTTCTATTTCCTGCACAGAGCAATAAGTTGTAGTTAATTGCGAGCAAAACACCACAAGTATCGCCAGGATATTATTGGTCCCACTTGTCCGACTAAGCTGCAGGCAGCAATCGGGCATTTTTGGAATGTTTTCTATTATTCGTCGAACCTAGCAGCGACGATCATCGATCACTTTGAAGAGCCAGAGTTGTAACTGCTTCTGTGTCCTTCCTTTATGGTTTGATGATGAAGGTATGGACATTAAGGAGGTTGGAGTAAGAACCTTCTCTCCCAAATTATCCCTTTACACAAAAAGTGACAAGACAANTTTTTCAAAACTTACATGAAGAAATGGAACAGTTTTCCAATTTATGGTCGGAAAAATGTCCAAACAATGGAATTCCGCGAGTCCCTTTTTCACCGGTTTTTAGAAACACTCATTATCGAATAAATGATATGCCGATGACCTAAAACGTCACGGGGAGATAAGGCTGCAGACAGGGAGCAAGTTTCATATGCGAGTCTCGTAGTGGTGGCATGCTCAAAATGCAATGATTTTGCCCGGTTCTTGTCCACTACATCAAATTTAAGTACATGATTTGTTGTGTTTCTTTCACAAAATAAAACACACCCAGTCTGGTGCAGTTCAAACAGGAATCTCGTACACTGAGACTTAGTCTCATCGAATCGATCGTTCCCGGACATACAACGCAGTAAGGGTAGATTTGAAAACCTTCCTGGTTGTCGCAGAGACTAATATGCTAAGGATTTTTGGTAGACTGTTCGACAAATATCCACAGTGTCTGCAAAAGAACTCCGAATCTAGCGACGCATGAGCTTCGCCGACTGCTTGTGTTATGTTGCAGCGGCCAGTGTACTTTGCTGCTGGACCACCGCCACTGGTTTGAGACTGTCACAGCAGCCCCGCGACACTGACAGCTTTATTCGTGTCGTCTCCCTCATTCCTGGACGAGGAATAGTTACTTTCATAGGATTTGAATGCACTTTCACGAGAAGAACCCGATACGTGTTTATCTGTTTTCTTCGAAAACTGTAGACTCGGCAAACAAGCACGCACGTGGGTTTTTTGTTTGTTTGTATTTTTTGTTTTGTTTTTTTTTGTAGAAGCTTCTCATGTATACGTACACACATTTATGGAATTCCATATCTGCCGTCGTGCGTCGCCCGTCGTGCGTCGCCCGTCGTGCGTCGCCCGACGTGCGTCGTCCGTCGTGCATCGTCCGTCGTGCGTCGCCCGTGGTTTTTTTGTCACGATTGTGCAGTGGTATTTTTAACTTTGACCCTTGATCGTTTCACATTTACATGTCCTTGTTCGATCGATCCACCATGCCTGACTCTCATTTTAGCAATAGAACTAGAAGATGTACATGTAGGCCTATTCGTTTTTGCAGTTGCGCCAAACTCCAATTGAAAGAAGAAATAATATCCTAACATCGGCTAAGTAACGTGTATATAAAATAACACCATTTTGGTTACATGAATAAATCAACAAAATAGACTTTTGTTACGGTAGATTGTTTTTCTCGATAACTTAATTACTCTAGACGTAACTTTACTCGTTAACAGCCAGACTTTAAGTCTATAGCCTATGTGATATTTCTGTCTGTCCCTGCACGATATCCCACAGAACAGAA